AGTTGCATCTTTAGGAGAAGGCGTTTTCTCCAGAAAAGGCATGGGAGCTTTTGAGTTTTGGGTAGGTTTGGGGGGTTGTTTGGATTGGTTTTTGTTTGTTAGCATACGGCTAGAATGACTATGAAAACAAGTAGAAACACAAAAACATAGGAGTTGGTAATGTTTTCTGTAAGAGGGACAAAGATTAAAGCTAGGGAAAAGCTGAACAGAACAAAAATATCAGGTATTCGAGGGGGTTAAGAATGTGCATCTGGAGAAGCTGAAATGGCCATGGCTAAAATCAGCTGTTTTCTGTTTACTGGTGTTCACGCAGTGGAAAAAAGCACACAGGCAGCAATTATCTCCAAAGAATGCCAGGTAACATGGCTCCAGGGTAGTGCGTTGTCAGAGGACAGCAGAAATTAAGTTTCAGAGCTTCAAGGGGAAATGTGTTACTACAGCCCAGATACGTGAGGATACTGTTGTAGGCTGCTTTGGGAACTGCCAAATTGTGGTCTGAAGTTCTTGGTTGAACTACAAAGAATGTGGTGCTGGCCTCTCATAAGCTGACAGGTTACGGGTGCTAGTACACTTAGTGTCCTTTAAAAAAAAACAAAACAAGGAAAAACAAGAAATAAAGACTGATGGATGCACTTTGTGGGGATTTTCCTGAGGAGAAGGAAAGAATGAGATCTGAAAGAAAACGTTCTACTGAAGACATCTGGAAATACAGAGTGTTTTCCTAGAATCCATTTTCATGTAAACAGCAACTGTGGTTGTCACAAGTACATTGTGCAATCCTGTATGAGGAGAGAAGCACCCAGAAGGGAAAAAAAAAACCCTTCAGAAAATGAGGAGAGGGGAAATGCAGCCTATATAATTCCACCATTTACAACTGCAACAGTCTCCAGTTTAACTTTGTCAAGTTATAGGTAATGGCTGGTGGCTGCCAGCAAGAGGAGCAGCAATGCACAGCCACAACAGCTCCTGGAAGTGATGAAAGAACAAATCTGGCTAGGAGAGTATTTGATTTCAACCATAACAGCTAAAGCTGATCTAAAAGTTCCTTCCCAGTCTCTCCTCGCAAAGACTTAAAACTTTATCAAACAAAGTCTTTTGCTCTAAAGATTAATCTCATCCCCAAAGATGTGTCGCTGTTAATGTAATGATGAAACCAATTTGGTTCCATTTTCAACCAGAATATTTTTAAATTAAAGATATTCTTTCATTGGAATATCTGTGAAACTGACATTAAAGAAGTTAAAAATTCATAGTTTAATATTTGCCATTTAATTTAAAAAATAAGCCTGCAACTTAATACTGCAAACTTCTACAGTGCAGTGATCCCAGTGATGATCATTGAGAGTCTGAAAATAATACTCGGTTTTTATTAAAAATTGTTAGAAGATATAATTATTTTATTGGAATCATTTAAATGAGCTTCTGTTAGAGTATTTTTTTTTAAATTGGAGTAGTTAAGGTGATTACTGAATTAATAATTGAAGAATTCTTGGATCAAAAAAAAATCAAATTTAGCATCACACAAGGCAATCTCTGTTTCTGTCATTTTAATATGTTGATTCTTCAGCCAGCTTAGAAATATGGATGCAATACAGACAGAATGTCATTACAAATGAAACTTTAAATCAATTACTAATATCTTAACTTTTCATACTAATGGAAATGTTTGGATTTAATTACTTATTTTATTGTAATTGCAAGGCACATAAAAACTTTAAAATTGAAATAGTTTATGCCGTCTGGTGGTACCAACCCCTGTCATCATTACTAGATACTCAGAAGGTTTAAAATGCTTCCCCATTTATGCACCACACAAGGTATAGGATTGAGAAGGAAGAGAAACACTTAGGTGTGTTCTGGAAGGAAGTAGATACACGAAAGAGTAAAAAGTTATTCCTACAAAATGTTAAGGAAAACAGTACTCCATGATTTTGTCCATGGCCAGAGTTCACTGAGTATTAATGAAACAATATTAAATTATATTAAATTATAGAGGTTTTTCCTTTACATTACTTCTTTATCATGGATATTCTCCAACTGCTCAGGAGTGATTAAAATATGATGAAAACACAGTTGTGTTCTTGCTGCAGATGCCTGAGAAGCGCTGTAAGTGCTGCCATTCAGAGGAGTTTTAGGGCCACTCAGTTGAACCCAATCACTGGCTATGCACTGACTCTACCAGTGTTGTAAGAGAAATCCCATTCATGCTGTACAGATTAACTTAACCATCAGGAGTTCTACCCTAAGGCAGAAAAAGTCAAACGCAATGCAGAATAGGAGGGAAATGTATTTAAACCGTCTCACTTTAGGACCCAAGGGGACCGCTGTACCCTGCACCATTTGTGATCTTTGCACTGGTTGAGCTGAAAGAGACTGACATGTTTGTGCTGAAATCGTTATTAGTATGACGCAGTTAGAGATATTTGAACAAAACTTCTTTTTCTAGTTAAGATACTAGTTTGAGTTTTAGGAGATCTTTCTTTGAAACCAGATCTACCACAGCATGTGGGTGAGAGGGTGAGCAAGTCGCTAAATTACCCTGTGCCTTACTTTTGTTTGCAAACTGTGTCAAACATTCACCCCGTTCTTTGCCTGCGCAGGGCACCACAATCACTCGCTAAGAATCTGCCGAGTTCGATTCACATAAAAGGACTAAAACAAATGGAAGCAGCGGCAGTGCATCAGTTGTGAATGCAGAGAGGTCAGGTACTGCATCCTAATTCACCTACAAATGTTTACAAACCAAGAATCTATTTTACATCCTCAGACTGCACGTTAGGGCTACAGAAATGCAGTGAGGTTTAAGCTGTCCACCAAAACTTCTTGCCTTCAACACACACTGCTCCAATTACTTGCAAAACCTCCTTGTAATGCCACCCTTAGCCCGATCACAGGGCCTTGACTGCTTTGCAACACAAATGAAAGACTCTTCAATTTAGGTCCACTAGGCCACACTCAAGCACAAAGGCTAAATAAACGGCCATTGTTCATGGGCCACCAAGATGAAAAGCACTTGATTGTTGTCATCAATTAAATCAGCTCTCTAGCTTTAGTGGCTATTAACCCTTTCAGCAAATTCTTAAATATTTATTTCAACAGACAGACTACAATTCTGTACTTTTACAGTAGCTGTCCTGGTGTAAGAGCATTTCCTTGGAACACTGCTGAGCGTAGAGTGCCCTTGTTTATCCTTACAGCTGAGCCATGCACTGCACTGGCTCAGCTGCTCATGACAGCTGCAGGCACCGCAATTCACTTCTGAAAATCTACAGCGCTATACAGTATTCTAAGATTGTGCAAGTGAAATATTTAGCTGGCAGTAACATACAGGCATTTAACATGCTTCTGCATTTGAACCTCCCCTTTCACGGTTGCATGTGCAGCAGGCAATGCTCCCACTATTGGCAATGGACACCCACAAAAGATGCCTCCAGACTGCTCATGAAAACAGGTTGTGTTTGCAGCTAAACATATCACCATGAATCTGTGTGATAACCTTTTCCTCATGTTTAGATAGGTCTGAGAGTATCCTTTCCCTCATAAGTGCCCCAGTTTCTATATTCTGGTTTACCCCAAGACACCCAGCTAACAGAGATGATTGCATACTAAAAGCAATTTTTTTTTTCCAGCATTCTCCATAAAACCTTGTGAGGCACTTTTTGTTGGTCTAGCTCTATAGATCTATTCAATACATGCTTTATGCAAAGAGTCTTTTCACTGATGGCAACAGTGAGTTGTATTACATGTCTATGCTCACTCTAGGGTTGAAGTAGTTAAGAATCCCACTTCTATTCATATATTATTTATCAAAAACTTCTATCCCACACAGTTCCTAACTATCCTGGAGTCTCTCTTCACTGTGTGAGCAGATGAACAAGGAACAGAATAATTGTAGCTCTATAAAATATTGACCAGTTACAATTCTTTCATTAAGACATTCCCTTTCAGTTTTCTCATCTCAGTTTCAGGGCAGTTTTTGCCATTCCTCCCCTTTCTCCTTAAACACCAAGGCCATCTTGTTTTGGCTGCAGTATAATAACTGTGGGTGTCTTTTTATCAGCTTGACCAAGCAACCATGGTTGGTCCTGATGGAATTCAAACCATTGATTTTAAACATTTATAGATAATTTGGAACAAATATGTTTGTTTTTTTTTCCTGCCATGCAAACAAAAATTGAAAGTTTCATTAACACAGACAACAGACGTCTTGTTTCTGAAGACTTTAGGGACATATTGCACTGTCTTTAGGCATATCTTAAGCAAGTGAAGGCTCCAGGCTTCATTCCAATATGACCCTAAATGCCCCTCAATTTTCCTATTTTTGGAATAAAGCTATTCCAAAGCATGAAATGTCCACCTTCCAATCTATACACAGCTGTATTTTAGACAAGTTGTACAGCTTATAAACCACCTAGCAAATCTTTCCAGCGTCTCAAACTACTCCTGCTGCTTCCATCACACCCAGAAGCACCTTGAGCTGCCCCACACCCTTGTGTGGTCCCGCATAAGGGTGAGCTGGTTTAATTCAAGTGCTGGCTGGCCAGATGGCCCAGGCTGAACCCCACCTGGGGGCTCTCAAGCAGCACACCAGCTTCCTTGCCCTTTCCCACCTACTGACTTTCAAGCAGCCTTCAGGGTCATCCTAGCTGTGACCTCTGCTCTACCATCACCTTTCACTGAAATCTCCTGCAGGCTTCAAAAATCATGATGGCATAAGGGATGATGAATGTGAATAGGGAAAACAATTGCATGAGCTTCCTTGCCTTACGAAAGCACATGAATAATTCAAAAACATAGGCAATTAACCCATAATCATTAGGTTCTACATTTTTGATGTCTTAAATTTTTAATTTAATGAAACCAGAGAATAAGTCATTTTATTGAACATTTGAACCCCCTTTTTCACATGAACCAAACACAGTATTTATCTCAACAGATACCTATTAGTGCTATTTTTATTTTATTTTCTTTACACAGAGAAAAGGATCAGACCACACTGCTATTTTGAATTAGTCCATGTATTTGAGTTTCATTCACAATTTGTCATGTTTATGACAAACTATTTGTAAATGCTGGACACTCTGTATACATGCAGATTAACACAGTGCAATATATTGTCAGAACTAATAGGTGATGTGTCTCTACTGCATAATTCAGAAAAACATTAAAGTGTCAGCACCCTTAATCTCCTGTAAAAATGGAAGCTTCCTCCTTGGCTTTGGATCCATCTCTGTGGTCTAGATGAAGTGCCAGCTCTTCAGTCAAGCTGGGGTGATTCATTCTAGCTGATGACCCTGCTGTGGATGTCCTAGCACTCCCTGCTGAAATAGCCATGCAACACTCACAAAGCAAAGTTGAGCAACTTCATTTATTTTCCTCTGTCTGGCAGACATTAATGCCAATGCTGATAGGAACGTGTGGAACGAAGAGCAAGGCCCAGGTAGATCTCCCACTTATGGTGTATCTCTCAGGTGATTAAGAAGTTTTCTTATTTCTGAAAATTGATAGAGGAAGAGTGTCAATCTGATAAACTGAGATTCTTCTGGGTTCATTTTGTGATGTTTCAGGACATGCCAAATTCCTGACTGAGAAAACAAACACTTTTCCATTTAATCATATTCATTATATTTATAAATCATCCTTTTACTGTGATAATGTCACAGTATTTTTTTTATTCATCTTCACAATACTTTTCTGAAACTATTTTTTTGGTGCATTCACAGGCATGAAACTGGGATGAGAAAGGTCTGTGTGACTTACAAGATTAGAAAGAACAATTTTTGTTGAAAACAATAGAAATAAAATAACAATATATATTAGGGGAACCCCCCCCCCCAAAAAAAAAGAAAAAACCAAAACCAACCAAACAAAACCCCCATAATTTTGGATTTTCTAATTCCAAGGCTAGTTTTCCAGTTTTGGACCAGTTTAATAAGTTTGTTGTTTCTAACATAAATAAGTGAATGCAGTAAAAAGACTTTAATTCTCATCTGTAGGTTTAACTGTTTCATATCTGCCTTGTTTCCTAAATTATGAGTCTTATGTTAATATAGTTCTTCCCTTCCTTGGGATTTCATGTCTGTCAGAAACATTGTTGTACCAAAAAAATGTTTCAGATAGACAGTAAAATGTGCATAGCATTTAAAAACCTTTCCAGTTCTTGTGTTTCACAACAACCCTTTATAAACCAATGTGCATTTATTTTGGTGGTAAGTTACCCAAACAAAAATATTGCATTTGCAGTTCTTGTCTCTGGGGCTTTAATCCACTGAGAAACTTATGAAAGTACTCACTGATTGTGGGATAATATTTCTATCAGATGTTAGCAGTATTTATTGCATCATTTTATGAATTCTGACTCTTTTAAAAAATAGTTTGATGTATATAAAGTACTTTTGCTTCCATTTTCACTAGGGGAGACACAAAGACATTAAATCTCCAAACATGTGTTCCAAGGGGACCTAAAAACTGTAAATAAACAAAGCAAAGTCTGAGCTGTAATCAACACATCTCTAGCAATGAGGAACATTAATAACTTTTTCTCAGAGGACTTAGACACTAGCAAGTATTTGATAAACCTTGCAATCATCTTTAGAATTTATAGTTTCAGATTTTTATACTTTAATAGTGGCTTATCAAATATATTAGGAATTCACAAAGGTTTTATAGTTTTAGTTTATTATAATTTCTAGTTCTTTTACAACCTTAGTCTCCCTACAAAACCTAAGGAACGCCAGCATCTGTGCCCACAGCTGTAGGGCAGAATTCTCAGAGGATCACACACAGTCCTGTGCGTGGGGCAGAACAACGCGCGGGCACCCCGGACACTCAGACCTCAGCACTGCCTGCAGCTCCTGCACAGGGCAAAGAGCAGGGCAGGCACCGAGCTCTTCTCTCTGCTGACAGTGACGGGACCCGAGGGAAAGGCAAGGAGCTGTGTGAGGGCAGGTTTAGGCTGGATATTAGAAAAAACACAGGGACAGGCTGCCCAGGGAAGCGCAGCCTGGCCGAGCTCAGAGCTCGGCCAGCGCTCTGGGGCACGCTGCGCGGCTCGTGGCGATGGTGCTGTGCCGGGCAGGGAGCTGAGGACCGCTGTGGGTCCCTGCCCAGGCGGCAGAGCCCGTGAGGCGGCAGCTCCCACGCGCGGGCGGTGCCCTGGCGGGGCCCGGCGCTGGGCCGGCTCTGGCGGGGCACGGCGCCCCCTGGCGCGGCGGGCTCGGTACCGGCTGAGGGCCGCGGGCGGCGGGCCCGGCCCCGGGAAACTCCGGGCCGGCCTTTGTGCTCGGTCCCGGCCTCCGAAACCTTCCAAGTGCGAGGCGCCAGGTGCTGCTCGCTCCCGGCCGGGTGCCAGGAGGGAGATCGTCTCCCAGGGGCACAGGGGGCAGCCCGCAGAGCCCGGCACCGCTCCCTGCCTGGCTCCGGTGGATCCCATCTCTACAAACCGGCCGCATTCGGCCTTCCCACCCCCATGGTGACAGAATCACCGAATGGTTTGGGCTGGAAGGGACCTTAAATATCTACTTCCAACGCTCCTGCCATGGGCAAGGACACAACAACGCCATTCTGAATACTAAATAAAATAAAATAGGTTTTGTTCTTTATTTCTCATTTGTTTTTATAAATACAGAGATGGCAGACCATGCTGAAAGCCCTTCTATCTTTTAATACTTTTTTTTATACTATTTGTTTAATCATGGTCACCACATATAATACATTTAAGACTAATTTCTTTAACTACTGATTGTGTATTTTCTTACCAGCCCTGGACATTTTCCCCATCTTAGAATCCAATTACACATTCAAAACACCCACAAAGGAAGTAAAATTAATCTAAGAGAACTGAAAATTTGAATAATTACAATAACTGAAATGAATACTTGTTGATGATATGTTTACATGAGTATTTAGCAGAACTAAGGAAATTCACCATATATTGTTTTACACATTTATACAAGATTTTAACTCACAGCTGTCAGTTTTTAGTATAGTGCACGTTTTCTTGTTTCCAGTAAAAGGGGAAAAAAAAAATCTCTCTAGAAAATGGTTAAATCAGTGGATAGGTTGCTCTGGCCTTTCAATTTCAATTTTTTTTCTTTCTAGTTAAATTATGTTCTTAGCAGGATATAGGAAGACAAATTTCTTAGCAGGATAGGAGGTGAGGATCTTGCTAGAAAACATTTGCTCAATATAAAGTCCTTTTGCAAAATGTATACATGAACCAACTCATCTGGGAGCAGTGAAGACATTTGTGTGTGTGGTGGATATTCTTGTAGGCATAAATAAAAGGGCTCCAAACAGGGAGGAGCCTTTTTTCAAAACAGCCTAGTTAAAATGAAATTACATGTTTACATGAAGAACACCGATATTTGACTTCACATTTCAGCTCAGTCTCTTCAGTTTGTCAGAGGGAAAGGTTAGACATGGCTTTAGTCACAGTCGCTCACATAGCTGCTCACAGACATGACCTTTCTTCAGTCTGCTATTCAATCATGATATGATTCAAATCCAGGAGTCAGTTTTTATGTCTCAATTTTTCCATCCTTGAGTATATTCAGGAAACTGAGAAAATTGCTTAGGAAGGATCATATCTTCTCATGAAGAACTTTTATTTTATTGCTAAAAGGTAAGCATTACACATCTTTTACCACGGGTCATTTGGCCATGCCTTGTGTCTGATGATCCAATTCCTATGAATAGTCCTTTTCATGGGTGTGACAGTCACTCAGTTATTCTTACTTGCACAACTCTTTTCATGCTGCTGTCCCTGCCCCTGTTTATCTCCCCATCTCTGATCCTCTCCTATTAGATTAAATTGTTAAGGGATCAGAGATAAGGGGTCGTGCTATGGTTCTTTGGATCTTGAAAACATAGGTGCTTACAATTTATGAAAAAACTAATTAATGAGGTACCACTTTTATCTAGAAAACCACCTCATTCAGAAAGAGGAAACAGATGTGGTAGGCTTTGGGCTCCATCCCTTTGAGAAGGGACTTGCTACCATGAAGATGGAGCACAGGATCCCAGCAAGCTGTAAGTTTTTTGTTTATCCATCTAAGATCACATGGGATGAAAAAAAAATGGCTTTATTTCCCCTGTGTCACTTTGTTTTTATAGTCTGCTGTGTTGCTGTATTGACTCCCTTCTCCAGGAAGAAGGCCAGCAGGCTCTTCTCTCTGGAGTTCTGCAGCTCTAGAGTTTGGTTTCTGAAAGTTATAGTGGAAAAAGGTGGGGATAGGGGCAGATCTTATTGAGAAAGAACTGTTTTCTCTTTCAAGCTTGTTACCTATGAGTCTTTACTTTCCCTTTTACTTAAACCTGCTCACAAACAAAAAAAACCCACCTAAATTACACCTGTCTCTCTCAGATGGAGAGACGAAACACTGTTTTGTTGGGTTAGAGAAAGAAGTTGCAATATGTGCTCTCAGATAAATTATATAATGTTCTCACTATCAAGTCTTGTACTACCCATAAACGTAAAAAAGCACTACTCTAAAACACTGGATTGTCCTGCATTTTGCATAGCATAGAACTCCATCAGGCTGCTATCAGAAGAAGATTCTTTTAAGTCTTATGGATAAACATTTTTACTCAGCACTGGGGTTCACTGTAATAATTTGCCATGGACTTCCAAATTCTTACAACCTGTTTCTTCCTTTAAAAAGGTTCCATGAGATATTTGCCCCTTTCTCAGTAGCTGTGCACTCACAGCAACTGGAAATATTATTTGTACCAAAAAAAAAAAAAGATAAAAGAGCTGCACAGAGGTAATTATCTTTCCAAACCATCGTGTTTGACAGTTCTGTTTTACGCTTGTGTCATATTCTCAACAGCGCCTTACACTAACTGGCTTGCAAGTGACCTACCTCAGTCACACCATAAAGAGTTAGCAAAGCCAGCCTAAACTGTGACTTCCCAAGATGCTTATTTCATGGTTATTCCAGGAAATCAATTGGGATGCATTGGAGAAAAATTCCAAAGAAGCTAGAGAACTGTGGTTGTCCCACTGAAAGAATAAATAAGCAAAGGAGTTTAGCCTTCAAGGACAGCAAACAATTCAAAAGGACAAACTGGCATCATTTTAGGCACAGTGCTAGGCAAACAAAAAAAACCCAGATCAGTTAGCATTTAGCATCCAGAAAGCTCAGTGGCTTTGTTGAACAGCTTTGGACCACGAAACTTGAGAAATTTCTGCAGGGGTGTTAGCACTTCCTGGCTTTGGCAAGGCAGGAAGTATTGCACAAAATAGCTCTTATCAGGGTATTTTGGTGTCGCCAGTCCAAGTGCCAAAGCAGCCCAAGAAGTATCAGGCAATTATAAATACTAACATACAAAAGAAAAAAAAAGGTGAAAGTCTCTGAGTATAAAGAAAGCATAAACTTAGAATACTTTTTAAAAATTTAAACCAACACAAGTCTACCCTGAATTAATGAGTTTTCCCTTAATTTCAATAGTGTCATGCATTAAACTGTGAAACAGCAGAGAAACACTTTTCCTGTAAATATTTTAGCAGAAAACATGCTTTAAATAATTGGCCTTAGTGAAAAAAATCCAGAACTATGCACATTACAAGCCAAACACTAACAAAATCATCTAGGGTATGATAATAGTAAGGAACTAACTGATCTCACAGCTACATTGTCATTATTATTTGCTACATATTAATGATGCTTTGTATAAGTTGCTTTATTTCTTCCTTCAAAAGGATTACAATCTAAACTAACACAGACCCAGAACAGATGGTATAAACAGGGAAGGTAAAAGTGGAGAACAATAGGCAAGCCCAATCTACATGTATTCCATCTGTTTAAAATTAATGCTTTAATCACATTTTATTGGAGATAAAAATTAATATCTCCACTTGGTCATGAGAGAAGTACATGGATGGAGGTGAAAAATGCAGACTCTGTGGTCTGCTTTCTTTCAACAAAAAAATATTCCCAGGCATCCTCACAGGAGCAGGAGGAGGTGAAGAGCTGATAGGATGAAATGTCAGTCGTTCTCCACTGCATTATCCTAACCAACCCACTAGAAATTTTAAGCACAATTCAATGATAATATATAAGAATTAATTATAGTGAATCATCCACCTCACAATGTCCATATTCAGAAAGATTCAGGTATCTATGCTCTCAAGAAGGGAGAGAAAGCAAAGTAAGGTTTAAGCAGAAATTTATTTCTTACTTTTTAGTTTGCAACAGCTCTTCAGTGGTGAAAAGCCTTATAGGTATAAGGTGTGGATCTCTCTTTCGAGCTGTGGAGGGCCCTTTTATCAGCACATGAGCATTCTGTACTGGAAAGCACCTCACCTTGGCTTTGTATGAAGGCAAAATCCAGAATAAGTCAAAGTTGGTGTGTCCCCATCAGAACACGTGAGATAAATGAGAATGAGTGACATTGAGGACATAAACCTTTTAAAGCTCCTCTGCCTCTTCATTCGAGCTGCAAAATGCATGTTCTCCTGTCATAGCTGTCCTTGGTTCACTACTTCCTTACTAACAGCACTCAGAAACCGTGCAGTGACAGCTTCCTTTGTAAAGCACTTCCCAAAGGCCCTGGAGCAGAGTAGGATTTGCAGCACACGAGGAAAGCAGGCACGCATGCTTTCATACATGGGACAGATCCAAATATAGATTCATTAAAGCAGGAAAAATTGAAGCAATGAAGTCCACATCAACTTGTACACAGAGGTCGCTGTACAGATAGAATGGAAAACACAAAATCCATGTCTTTCTGCAAAGCAGAAGAACTTGAGAGTGATAAGATAGAAAGCAGGCAAAACAGAAGCTTTTCAAAGCAATTTCATTATTGCATATATTTGGACAAAATCCAAATAAAATTCAAAGTATTCCATGAAAAGCACACCCACCAAAATTTGATTACCTATGTGTATTGGAAACCTCTCATCACCAGCTACCCAGCTTCATGTCCCTTACGACTGCACAAGTCCTGTGACAAAGCCAGTTCCTACTGTGTTCCCAGCCACTCTTACTGCCTGACAGGACCTCTACAACACCCCTCTGCCTCCATCTACTGCTTCAGCCAGAGGCAGCAGTTTTCAGCCACTGGTTCCCAGTCAAAGAGTGATCGCAGGCCAGGCAACTTTAGCTGATTGACTGGTGACAGCCTAAGAGCCCTGATCACTGCTGAGCTCATCGTGCAGCCTCTCCCTTCCTGGGGGCACTGCTTGGTGCCTCTTTCCTTCTCTCTATTCATCTGATTTTCCCAAAACCTGTTGGAATTTTTTGGGTGAGATTTCCGTCTTTCTGCCTAATTTCAAGTAATCTTCCACAATTTCAGCACCAGGGTTGAGAATTACTAGAGGATGCACACAAAGTGCAACTTCAGAACACTGTTTCTGGCTGACACCCAAGCTCTTAGAAAGGCGTGTAAAGGCTCTTCAGAGAAAATGTTGCTCACCAGCATTGGTACCACACACCAAGAATGATGGGATTAGTGCTGATCCTCCCAATTGTCCTTGGAGTTTGTGATGGGTCCATGACAACTCAAGGATGTTATAAAACAATAGCAGTGTAGTTGTACTAAACACAGCTATAATATAGACCATGGTACATTCTCACAGGCGAATAGTGATACTATGAATTATTTCCTGTATATTCCAAGACAGTTCTTGCACAAAGCAGTGTCACAACACTGAACCTCTGTTGCTAGTTACCACATTTATTTTAGTTCAGTGCAATAGCTCAGCTTCAGAATAACCCAGCAACAAGCTCAATTGATGAAGTCAAGCTGAAAAAAACGTACTCTTTGCATAAGTTAGTTCAAGCATCTCTCTGAGTGGGATTTAGATCAGTGAATCTTTGTAATTCTGCCATTTGGTCTTGTGTTTGCTGTGGGTTCTGCAAGCATATGTGCCTCCAGAGGAGAATTTTTCCATGTCTTCATTGGTTGCTCTACAGTAGCTCTATTTGATAGAGCAAATTGATGAACCACAAATTAGAAAAAGACGATTTTAAAAAGAACACCTATCTTCTCATTAATTCCTCAACTCTTTGCAAATATTCCTAGCTACAGTACCTTAGTTATGGTATTTATAAAGGATGAGTGATCTATTAGAATCTTAATGAGATCTGCAGTAACCAGAGAAAACAAAATGATAATCAAAGGCAGGGTGGAGTTCTGATTACATTCTAACACTAGCTTTTTCACAAGAGAAATGCCATTCTAACTTATATACAGGATGGATTTGAGGTTTTCTTTGAGGCACTTAAAGCTGAAAAAATAGATAACAAGATAGGAATAATTAAGCAGTTCTTAAGAAATCTTTGAGCTAATGAATAAGATACCAGTCGACAAATTCTGTAATCATAGTAAAGGTAGAAGAGCAAGTATTGCTGCATTTCAAAGGATATACAAGAAAAATATGCGGGATGTCAATTTGTAAGGAAAAATAGTAACAACTTTTTATAGTAAGAACAGATATTGCTGGACAAAAATGTTCCCACAAATCTTCACTTGCAATAAGCTTTTGAGTGTTGAAGAATAATGGGTAGGATTTTATTCCATAGAAAATTTTAAATATTTTCTTTTCCTTTAGGGAATCAGGTTGAAGAAGACAACCTGACAAAAAAAAATTAAATTGATTTGTCAGCAAAAATTGAGATTTGTTTTGGATTCTTTTTGTACCATTTATGATATATAGGGAAATAATTAAAAATATTTTGTGGTTTTAAGTAACAACTCACAAAAACAGGAGCTTTCTTCTAAAACATACTATATCAGAAGTGTCAGTGTAAGCAGAGCACTGAATCCGTGCCCCATTTACTTTTAGGAAATTGTGCATAAGCTGCTGAAGATGCAGACAACATGTTCTGAACATATATTTAGTGGGTAATACCAAAATAGAAGAAACAGAAGCTTGTGCTGGTGTACCAAACCTATCTCCAAGAAGAATAAATAAGATAATTTTAAGAAATAAAATAGAGCCATCAAGTTAATTAGAAAAGGTATAGAAAGAAAAGTATCAGCCGTACACCATAGAAGTCAAGAAAAGAGATACATCTGAGAATTCATGTAAACTCTGTCACAGAAATCTATTAGGGCATCAGTCTTTAGACACTGACATAAATTTAGAGCTTTGTTAGAAATTCCAGGTGGTAACATATGATCTCTAAATATTTATGGCAATGCATTAGTATTCAGAAGGGATTAATGGATTTCCTGCTGAAGGCATTGGAAGCCTTTGATGGTCAGATTTTTAAAAATCAAGGTGTTTATTTTGATTTTAAGGACTGTGAACTCAACAGCTTGTTCAAATGGGTGAATCGATTATGTAATTGTAATGAAATTTCAGAGTATATTCTTTTCACCTGATTATGCCATAGAAAATAAATCACTAAGTGGAATCTCCTGGTTTGGTTGATTTTTTTCCTTGACACAATGCTAGATAGGAATTTGAAAATCTAGATACAAATGAAAGATCCCTTTCTCAGTGCCTGGTCTTACTGACTTTTTAGCAAAAATATTATTAAATTTAATAATAATTAATATTCAGACAATGTTGATACTAAGATTTTGAAATAATACTAAAATATTTACTCTATAATTTATTTTTCTTTGTGCCAACAGCCGCTGTGTGCTATCAGTGATGAAATCACATACTATAGAAAAGGAAAAGCCTATTAGATCATCTCCTGTGTCTGCTTCCCTCCTCCAAAACCAAATTGCTCCTCCCTTCTTGGAATTTTCAAAATGGCCTCTATGTTTATGCTTATCAACCTGAATTCCCTGCTTTTCAAGACTATGGTTAAAATTTCTGTGCATTTTGTTAACAAAAGCTTCCGTAAGAAAAGCAACAGAGCTACCTTGCAAAGCTATTAAAAATATAATCATTAAAACTTTTTACACCCATTTTCAGTTTTCACAATGGTTAGAATCAGCAACAGCATAAAGAGATAATTGCCGAGTGACGATAGAATAAATTCAACCAAACTGCAGTATGCTCATGTTATTAAAATGTTACTCTGTATATATATTTATTAATATGAGGGACCTTTCCTTTTTTACCTCAGACCACTTTCATCAGATCCTTGGTGGAAATGCTGTCATCTCTGGAAGGAATTGTCTACATGGTATTGCATGATGCTGTGTGTCTCTAAATGCTGATTTTTTTTCCCCCTTCTTTACCTATTATGCTTGTCACAGGAGTCTCTAGCCTGAAATCAGCATAAATGAGTGTGGCTGGCACTGTGTGCATGCACAGTCACACGGCCTCATCTGTGAATCTGCAGCAATTAATTATATTTATAGTGAAATATCTGCAGAACATTTGCATGTATGAATTATGTATTGAGGAGAAGCAGTACACTATGGTTTATGCATTTTTTGTTCTCATGAGAGTCCCTTTGTAACTGTAATATATGCTATGAAGCAAACCAGATTTTTATTAATTTGTCTATCGTCTTAATGATTAAATATAATTTTAAATAAAGATATTTTTAGAAGTGATTTTCAAATAGTTATTTATCATGATTTTACCCTTACATTATCAAATAAATTGTCTATTATTCTTTAATGTATTTTTTCTTTAAGATTAAGTTCTTCTAGCAAACACCAAGCTAAAAAAACATGAATCAATGAGTACAGGCCAGAGTTTAAGGCAATGAAGTATGCATGAAATATAAGCATGATGTGATTATCCCTCTTATTATGGTTATTACAATACATAATGAGCAGTGTCAGTTTGTTATCTTATCATTTTATTATTTTGTGGATTCACCCAAGAGTAAAATGTAAATGTAGTAACAGAAGTAATGAGTCAATGGGCTGGGAAGCATGATAAAGAAATAATAAGGTAGTATGCTGCAAAGACTATTCTGAGCTAGACTAATTGTGTGCTCTGAAATTAATTATCTGCTACAAATATGACAGGTGGCTAAGTTAGCTGTGAAAGAAAACAGGTCAGAATATTCAGAAAACCTTTTTTCTTTGCTGAAGAACTTTTGGAGACAATATTGAATTAAAGATTCATACACTAAAATTAAGATGCTTGAGGCTTCTGTTAAGAACTTATTTTTCACATACTGTCCTAAATAGAGGTGCACAAAATACAGCTTTTTCATGATTTAGTGCCTGCATATGAAAGACTAACTTTCATTTTCAGTGGACATTGGTATTTTTACAAAAAGCAAGAATACCTAAGAAATAACAAGAAATCAGATTATTTCTTTTTTAAAATGGTATAACATACAGTTGCTTAAAAATAGATATGAGTAAATTTTATTAAAACCCCTGTTTCTTAAATGATAGGGCCAGAATTTATTGCAGCTCTCTCATGGTGGGAGAAATATATATTCGATACATTCCATGCACCTGTTTGCTTGGGTAGAGTTTTGCAGCCTGGAGAAAGGTTCCAAATATTAAAACTGAAATTATTTAAATTAAATCTTCTGTGAATATTGCTCCCTAATTATCCTAGTTGTTTACAGTTACCACAGAATTTTCACAGATTATAC